GGAGCGGATCCGGGGGAAGGGAGAGGGGGGAGGGGGCGGGGACGGCCGGCGGCCGGCGGTGGTGGCGGGGCCTAGGAAGGTCGGCGGCGGGGGAGGGAGGGAGGAACCCTAGAGCGGGGGGAGGAGCGGGACTAGGTGAGCCTCTAGCTCTGTAGGTTGTTGTACAAGATCAACTCGAGTGTAGTTGTAGTTCTCTTCCTATAAATAATGAAGGGATGCTAATTGCTTCAATGTTTCATAGAAGCTGGCCGACCTCAAGTTCAAATCACCACCATATCTTTCGGTGACCATGGTAGGACTAGATATGGGAGGCATCGGAGAAGTGCTAATTCTTACTCGGAGCCAAGGAGCATGGGGCAGCCGCCGCAACTGAAAAAGAGCCACTGGAGGAGTAGCTGCTTCTCAACCAGCCTAGAGCCTCGGTTTAACCTGTTAAACTAACAATTTCTTGCGTGCGAGCAGGAGCGGCAGCAGCCAGCCGAACGTTTGTCATAGCAAGGAGAAAAGTGCTCCCCTCTCGCTAGGGTTTGGCTCCTCTCGGCGGCGGTGATCTCTCGCGCCACCGTAGAGACCTTTGCTCCTGAAAGTGCGTTATATCGACTAGAGGGGGGGTGAATAGGCGATTTTTATGAATTCTTCAGTGAGGAATTTGCCGGTGAGGAAATTCCTTAGCGAAGAACTACTTGCAGCGGAATAAGTACTCAGAAGTAAGCATAGCAGAATACATGCATGGTCATCATGATGAAATGAAGACAATCAAAGAGTACAGAAAGCATAAACACAGGATGGCACAAGATGAAGACAAACAGACTGAAGAAATTGAACTGAGGAAATTGAGAAAGTCTTCAGTCAAAGTCTTCAAACACAGATATGAACAAACAGTTAACACAGTAATGAGGAAATGAATAGGTTGAGGAAATGGAACCAGTTAGGTTGGTGAAGACAATGATTTGGTAGACCAGTTCCAACTGCTATCTCAGTTGTACGTCTGGATGGAGCGGCTGAGTATTTAAACTCGAGGACACACAGTCCCGGACACCCAGTCTCTGAGCATGCAGCTCAGGACACCAAGTCCTCACCGTATTCTCCTTGAACTAAGGTCACACAGACCTCGTCCAATCACTCGTGGTAAGTCTTCAGGCGACTTCCAAACCTTCACAGACTTGGTCACTCGGCGATCCACAATTCCTCTTGGATGCTCTAGACCATGACGCCTAACCGTCTGGAAGAAGCACAGTCTTCAAAGGTAACAAGCGTCGGATCCACTCAGGATCAATTTCTTCAGTGATGCTCAATCACTTTGGGTTTGTAGGTGTTTGGGTTTGGGTTTTTCCTCACTCGATGATTTTCGCTCAAAGTCCTCGGAGGTGGGTTGCTCTCAAATGACAAGTGTCAAGTTCTCTCGGAGCAGCCAACCAGCTAGTGGTTGTAGGGGGCGGCTATTTATAGCCTAGGGAGCAGCCCGACATGATAAGACATAAATGCCCTTCAATAATATGACCGTTAGGTGGATAAGATATTTTGGGGACAGCTGGCGCGCAGCACAGCAACGGTCAGAAATTTGACTCTCAAATTCCTCAGGGCTATCATGTTCCTCACTGTGTAGGCAATCCGCACTGGCGAATTTCTAACTCCTCAGTCAGAACAAAATCCTCAGCGACCAGAAGAACTTCGTCTCTGTCACTGATGAAATTGACTGAACTGTATGAGATTTCCAAAGGCTTCACTCGAAGGGATTGGTAGGTGTAGGATTTTGAGTTGAGCATCACATGGAAATTTTTCCTTAGTATTTCCTCGACCCCCTTTAACAGTATGGTGTTTCCTATGACTCAAGAAAGAGAAAAATGAAACTACGAAAACAAAAGTCTTCACGCTTCATGTTCCTCAAATGAATACCAAGTCTTCAAGGTCACACCAATTTTTTTCACTTTCAAAGTCTTCAGAAAGTCTTCAGAATATCAAAGTCTTCAGTCGAAGAACTTCATTTTTAGGGGTCGACTTTCTCTGTAAATATCAAACTCCTCATAGACTTATAGACCTGTGTACACTCATAAACACATTAGTCCCTTAACCTATAAGTCTTCAATACACCAAAATCACTAAGGGGCACTAGATGCACTTACAATCTCCCCCTTTTTGGTGATTGATGACAATATAGGTTAAGTTTTCAACGGGGATAAACATATGAAGTGTAAATACTGATTTTGAGGAATTTGATTGCAAGATATAGAAGAACTCCCCCTGAAGATGTGCATAGTGAGGAATTTGCTTTTGAGGCAATGCACACTTGAAGAGTTGAATCATGGAGATCTCCCCCTATATCTTGTAATTCATACACGCATTTGATACATAATATGACAAATTTGAAATGCATGATGAAATATGGTGCCTGATGCCATTCAGCATGCGTGCAATAATATTAATGAGGAATAAGCATGCGGAAAAATGCATCCAAAGTATCAGAGCTAGTGCAACAAAAGAACGAGAGTTGTAACTTAGCAAAAAAATGATATATGCCCATATAATAGACCGGCTTGAAGACTAACTCAAATTTCTCCCCCTTTGTCATCAAATGACCAAAAGGATCGGAACTGAGGACTAACGCCCCTGAAGAATATCAAGTTGATGGAGGAGCGCCAGCGTTGTCGGGGTCGGTTGTCGTAGTAGGGCCTGCCGCAGTGTCGTCCAAATCTTCATTTTCATCAGTGTCTCGCGATGAAGAATAAGAGCTGGCCACCACTGGAGGAACCTTGACCCTCTTGAATTTCTTCGGCGGAGGTGCAGACCAGTCAAATTCTTCCTTAAGACCCATAGTCTTCAGTTCTTCAGCGCTATAGACATGAGAAAGAACAGCCCAGGTGCGGTTGAATGTTTCATGAAGGTAGTACTGGTTTTTCTTCACTGCATTGTGTGTTGATGTCATGTTGTGAAGAATTGAACCAAACTGACGCTTGACCCATTTATGATTGCGATCAACCTTTTGATGAAGACTGAGGAGTAACTCACGATCAGTCATCACCCTGGGTGCTGTAGCTTGAGGATTTTGCTTGGCTGAGGTATTTGCGGCAGAGTCATGTGTGGCAGAGTCATCATTGGTGGAGTAAGATGCTGCTTTACAGAATTGACCATCCAATGGACGAATGCCTTCATCTATCATAGCAGTGGCCTTGCCTTTGTCATCGGCTGAGGAAACTGTCCGTTTGAGGACTTCAATTGGAGGCAAGTAGCTGCAGTGGTTCAGAGTATCAGCTTTGTAATTGAGTGAAGACCTTGCCCTGATGAACCTCATAATCCAAGGCGCATAAGGCTTCAGCTCAAATGTTGACATAGCAATGTTCGCCAGAGTCCTCATGAAGAAATCATAGAAGTTAATGGGAACGCCATGAATAATGTTGA